CATTTATAAATAACAAACGATCAATAATGGAGTTAATAACAAATATAGTTATAGAAGAATAAAATCTGACACATTTATTTATAATAATCTTAAGAAAAAAAAAGAACTGATTTGAAACAACAATTACAAAGAGTCAGAAGATATTCTATCCATAAATGAGAGTTTCGTTTTTATCATCAGGGTTTTCACAAACTATAAATCAATCATTTTTATCTTTTATAAATGAGAGTTTCGTTCTTTATCATCAGGATTTTCACAAACTAAAAATCAATTACTTTTATAAATGATAGTTTCGTTCTTTATCATCAGGGTTTTCACAAACTAAAAATCAATTACTTTTATAAATTATAGTTTCGTTCTTTATCATCAGGGTTTTCACAAACTAAAAATCGTATTATTTTTATAAATGAGAGTTTCGTTTTTTATCATCAGGGTTTTCACAAACTAAAAACCAATTATTTTATCTTTTATAAATGAGAGTTTCGTTCTTTATCATCAGGGTTTTCACAAACCAAAAGTCAATTATTTTTATAAATGAGAGTTTCGTTCTTTATCACTAGGGTCTTCACAAACTAAAAATAAATTACTTTTATAAATGAGAGTTTCGTTCTTTATCATCAGGGTTTTCACAAACTAAAAATCAATTACTTTTATAAATGAGAGTTTCGTTCTTTATCATCAGGGTTTTCACAAACTATAAATCAATTACTTTAATAAATAATAGTTTCGTTCTTTCAAGGTTTGTTACTCTTTTGTACGTTACACTCACGCCGCCGACTCGTTGAGAATAGCCCAAAAACATATATTTTCCTGATTCATCAATTCGAAAACAGCTAACTGGACAAAGAAAACAACTATCATGTATACACCTATACAAATCACAGTTTAAAGCAATCAATCAATTCATATTATGTTGTTTAGTTTTGTCTTTCTTCGAAATTTTGTCAACTGAAAATTTGCACATAAATGTTTCATAAAACGGGTGTATAACGGTGAGATGAGTTTACTACTTTCTTACGTTGTTAAGCAGAAAACTGCATAATGGGCGAGGTATATGTGTTGTAACCAATGTGGGGGATAAAAACCCTGATTTTAGCGTTATAAACTTTCAAGTTTGCCACTAGGTCACGGGGGACGCGGTGTTTTTTTATATATCCTTAAATATCCAAATATATAGTAACAGTAAAACGATATAAATAATTAATAATTTTGAAAGAGAAGAAAGCTTGGTTTTATATTATTAAGTGTGGAGCTCATTAACGTATCTGCATGATCATAATATAGATGAAAAAACAAAATGAATAGTATGTACGTATAGGTTTAAGGTATATCTGAACACAGTACGTAAAGATTCAAGAAATTATCTGAACATAATTCATGTAGATTAAACGATTAACTGGACATAAACGTATTGGTAAAAGGATTATCTGAACATAACACACATAGATTGAAGACTTATCTGAACATAATACATATAGGTATAAAGATTATCTGAGCATATTACATGTAGATCCTAGCAGTTCCTATACAAATAAAAACAGATTCAAATATTATACATATAGACACGGACCATATACATTTAAGAAGAACCTGAAAACAATATAAATAAGCTTATATAGAAACGGATCGTGTACGTTTAAGAAGGGCCTGAACACAATACAAACAAGCTCATATCTTACCACATCCACTGAAGGTACAACAATAATACTGTATTTGAACATAATGCACACAGATTTAAGATACATCTTAACATTGTACGGGCTCCACTAGCAAGTCGGAGAGCTTATAACGCTGAGAATTCGGGTTCCGATACCCTTGAATCATTAACAACAAGTAAATAGACATTGTACAAAGAGAAACAGATTCAAGTAATAAGTAAACACGTGCAATAGACAAGTATATAAACACGTGGATTATTTTGTCGGATTTGTAGGCCTACAGTGTTCTACTGTTCATGTATAAAGGGCAACATTTATCAACCACATACAACACAGAAGATAAATTTCAAGACAATTTTATTATTTTACATATTTTGCACTGACATTATTAACATTTACAGTGGATTATTACAAAGACATCGTCAGATCTCTCCAATAAATGTAACAGCTGAGATTTCAATTAGTGGATCTTTTTCTTCTAAAACAATAACTGTGTTCACACAATATTTGACATCGTACAACACCAGGGGGATATATATATATATAATTTCTCGGGCAATATACAAGAGTTAATTGTGAAATCCGTAAGCCGAAATCTGGTATTATTATGTATTTTTAATTGTTATCTCACAGAACCCGTAAACAATTGTGTTTTTACCTTAAAAGAAAAAAAAGCTGTATAAAACTATTTCTACTATACTCAGATTTCTATTTTTTTTACATACAGTCTCAGAATGAGCAGCTCAAAACTTTAAATGAAATTTAATAAATTTTGTGTAAAATATTAATGAAATGAGATGAGAAATATAAGTTATTCGTGATAATTAAAACTGTATAAAACCATGCATCTGGTCACATGAATAATCTATATCTAATCAGTTTCATCAACTACGATCGCTGCAAATTTAACCCTCGTTAAAAAAATTGTCTTGTATTGCAGGCTTTCGTGTTAGATTAAAATATTTAGTTTTTAATAGCTTAGTAATCCGAACGCAAAACTATTTGAGTTGGCGATCAGTACAAATCAAATAATTGATAACACTGAGGATGAAGTATCCATTGCACCTGAAATGTTCTTATTTGTCTTGGTTTTTTTATGCATTAGATCAGCTGAGAACAGGTGGCTAGATAAACAAAAACCTTCCCAGCGGGAAATTAAATCTGTTTCTCCAAAAATCAGAGAGATTGTTTTGACAATGGAGGTATTGTTTCAAATATTTTTAGTGTTGTGCCGCCAAATCTTAGCTCTTTGACCGCAGTGTGCACGCGTGTGACATAATGCAAGTTGTATCAAAAAGCTTTACCAATTTGCCGACAAATTCCATTATGTTCAACTCATATCTATTTGACGGTAATACGCATGCGTGTGACGTAAACGAGACAGTCGTTCGAATTTTCAAACTCTAGTCTGGTATATTACAAGTATTGAGCAAGATATCTTAAGGAATATTACTGCAATTTTTCAATATTATAGGATCTTTCTTTCATTCCTTCTTGTCCTATACAATTTAACATATATATATATATATATATATTAAACAACTTCATAAAATCTTTTAAACATTGTACAGCTATATTTTAAGTTGTCTGTGTGAGAAATGACAAAAATAACATTAAGCTTCACTCGATACCTACTAAGCTGT